CCCGCTTCCTCCTCACCCCCACATGCCATGCCAAACCAAGAACTCTCAGCGCGCCACCGTTGCTGCCGCTGCTACCACCGTTGCAGCTGCCTTCACCTCATCACCGCCCACTTCTCCATCAACTGCCACCACCCCGGCAGTTTCCTTCGCGATGGCCGCGGAATCTAGCATCAACATGCCCTCCATCAACACCCAGTCCATCGATAGCCTCCGCCGCAAAATTACTGGCAATCAGGCTGCCGCCCAGGAGGCCCGCGCTGACTCTTCCACCSTCTTCTCCCTCATGATCACCATGAAGGCCACCCTCGACTCCCTCCAAACGTCCCTCTCCAGCCTTTCCGGCCAGATAATCACCATCGAATAACAGCTTGCCTCTTCCACCATCCAGGTCGTCACCACCACGGCCCCCTCCTCTACCTTGGACTCCATCACCCTTCCCCCACCCTCCGCCTCCACATCTACACCAGTTACCTCCTCCTCCACATCCACCGCTCTCTCTGCCAGCACGTCATCCATGCCCCCACCTTCATCCACCACCACCTCCACCATGGTCATCCCACCTCCCCCCTTGCCCAAGACGACAACCCCCGCCGTCACACAGTCGTCAATCATTTCCCCCCAATCAAAATCTCTCTCGACTTTGTCCACTATCACTTCCACCCCCCCCACCTATACCCAGATCACCCCCGCACCACAAGCCCTGTACCCCGCTCCTCCACTACTTCCCCCAAACGCTCTCATTCCCACCAACTCCACCAAAGATTTCACCCGGACCGCTTCTTCCTCCCCTACGCTTGACTTCAACGCCCTTGCCACTACTGCACCCAAAGTCGGCAATATCCCTCCATCATTCTGCGCCAACGAGATCCCCACCTTCTCCGGCCAACCCCATAAAGACGTCTTCCTCTTTCTCGCCAAACTCCAACAAGCCTTCTCCCTCCATCAAGTTCTCGTCATCCACTTGCTCCCCATTGCCGGCACCAAACTCCTAGAAGGCGCCGCTCGATGGTGGTACACGGAAATGTCCAACCGCTATCACGTCAGTCTTCCACTTCACTCCTCTCTTGACTGGGCCGCCATGATCACCTCCACCTTCCGTCCACAGAAAACAGTCGATGACGACCTCGACCAATTCTGCCGGCTCCGCCAAAACGGGCCAACCCGTTTTGTCCAATACGTCCGCTCGCTTCGCCAGCACATCCCCATCAATGTCATCAGCAACACCTCATTCATCTCCCGCATGAAGCGGGTATGCCACAAGGACCTAGCGGGTGTCCATGAGCCTTCCATGATCCTCGCCGACCTCCTCACTCGTGCCCTCCAACACCGCATTCATCTCCCGCGTCACGCGGGCATGCCGCAAAGACCTAGCGGCAGCCCTTCTCCACGAGCCTTCCTTGACCCTCGCCGACCTCCTCGCTTGTGCCCTCCAAATCGACCGCCTCCTCTCCCCCTACAAAGCCACAGTCACATCGGCCCCTTCCCACCCCCCCTTCTTCCACAACATCACCTCCGAAGACACCACCTCCACCACTTCCTCGGACGAGTTCACAGCCCCTCTCGTTGAGCCYGACACAATCTCCGACTCCTCGTCCCCGGTGTCCCTCAGTTCGGAGGAACTCAACGCCATCCAATTCTTGGGTATGGAACGCAAGGACCGCATGGTTCGACCATCTTCCCCCATCCAACCCCTCCGTCTCAAGAAACTCACAACCGAGGAACGCGCATACCTGCAGGCCAACAATGGCTGCTTCCGTCGCCGACAGCTTGGACACCAGCAAACCAACTGSCCCAACCCTGGCCAGTTCACTCGCCACGTGAGCAAACYTGCGACAACCACTCCTTCGGCCACCGCGGCACCTGATCCCTCCTCAACATGACCTCCGTACCCTTGATCTCGGCGTGCACCTTCCTCCACCGGCACCATCCTCTACCCCGCCGGACGAGATCATCACCGCCTCGTGCTCTTCCACCCTCCTCCCCAACCCTTCCTCCATCTCCATCTCTGATGCTGTTGCGGAACACGCACGACACAATCAGCTCGTTAAGTTGGGCCGCGAACAACGCCCCCTCAACACCATGACCTCCTCCGCCCCCGTCAACTCCTCCCGATTCCAACTCAAGTTCATCGTCGCCTCCCTAGGTGTGTCTGCACTCAAGTTTTGGGCTCTCCTTGACATCGGAGTTACCGGCAACTGCATTACCAATGCTTGTGCCTGCAAAGCCGGTCTCCCTTCCGCCGGCAATGACTTCCCAATCACCATTCGACTCGGGGACAAGGACACCGCCGTCGTAGTAGAAGGCACTGTTCCCGAGACCACAATGACAGTCGGCTCTCTCCGCAGTCAGTTCTCATTCCATGTCATGCACTTGATGTGCGACATCGTCCTAGGAACCCCATGGCTCGACCGTTTCATGCCCTACGCATTCCATCCCACCACCTTTCGCATCACCACACCCCCGGCTCTACACTTGACATTCCCTACGTTCCCCACCCTACCTCCCAACCTTCCGTCAMTCCCCACMTGTTTCTCCACATGACTTGTCACAACCCCGACTCTACCTATTATTGTCTTGTCCTTGACCATGACCGTCCCGAGGACTTGCGTCTTWYCTGAGTCCTTGCCCGCCGAACTACCTACGGATCGTGGAGTCTCTCATACCATTGATCTAAAACCAGGTCACACTCCTCCATGTCGACCACCCTACCAGCTCTTCGTTCCCAAGGCCGAAGAAATGAAGCGACAACTCAATGAATTCCTTGAAAAAGGATTCATTAAGCCAAGCTCCTCCCCCTTCGGTACAAGTTGCCTCTTCGTCAACAAAGGTGGAACCTCCGAACTCCGCATGAGCACAGACTACCGCTCCCTCAACCGGATCACGATGAAGAGCAAGTACCCCTTGCCTCGCATCTCCGAGYTTCTTGATCGCCTCCGTGGATCCAAGTACTTCACAAAGATCGACCTCCGAAGTGGATTCCACCAGATCCTCATTCGCGAAGAGGATACTCATAAGACTGCCTTCCGCTCTCGCTTTGGGCATTACGAGTTCCTTGTGATGCCTTTTGGCCTCACAAATGACCCAGCGACTTTCCAGTCTACTATGAATCACATCTTTCGCGATCTTCACGAAGTAGGTGTCGCCTTCTATCTCGATGATATCCTAGTCTTCAGTCCCACCTTTGAGACTCACCTTCARCACACCCGTCAGGTCCTCTTTATCCTCAGAGACCATAAGTTCTACGCCAAGCTCTGCAAGTGCACTTCTGCTGCCTCAAGCGGAGAATACCTTGGCCACATTGTATCCATTGATAGTATCCGCACTGACCCCTCGAAGGTCACCGCCCTGGTTGAGTTTCCCCCACCTACAACATTACTGCAGCTTTGTTCCTTCCTCGGTCTTGCCAACTACTACCGCCCCTTAATCCGCGACTGTTCTAAATCTCCTACCCCCTCCACGAGCTCACCCACAAGAACGAGCCTTTTGCATGGAACGAACGCCGTCAAGCCGCCTTCGACCTCCTCAAACAAGCCATTACCACAGCGGGAGGAGGGCAGAAAGAGAGAATCAAAATGAACTTTCGGGCTCTCTCTCTCTCTCTCTCTCTCTCTCTCTCTCTCTC